GGTTCGTTGTTCTGGCTGGATATCGGATTAGGTTCGACGAAGTCCACCTGTCTGATGGGACTGGGAACTTCCTGCTCCAAATAACCATTTGGCCGACTATCGTGGTTGCTCGAATGCTGTTGACCAGCGTGACCGCGGAACGGCTGTTTGTCTCGATGCTGTTGACTGTGATGAGCTGGTCTCGATTGGGGTGGGTTTTGATAACCTGGTGGCCCGTATTTTGTGATGGGTCTATTTATTTGGGCAGGATGTCTGTTCACGATGCGTCCTCCATGACCGGATTGTCCGAATTGGAAACGAGCTCTGGAGGTAGTTGAGAAACTACTGGGCCTTTTGTACGAATACCCTGAATCCCTTTTCCTTTGAACATCCGAATCGTCTGCATCGTCGTCGCTATCGCCTGCACCGAGATCGAGTAGTTCTAACTTTGTAATCTCTGGTTTCTCTTCGGTTTGCTCGGCTTCAGCAGCCGCTTCGACGTAAAAGGAGCACATAACTAGCAGACACGTCACCTGAAATGAAGATGAGCCAACAATGTCTGCGTTATCTATTTGTCGATACCAATGAAAATTATGTGGGATTATTCGAAACAAAATTTATATCGCCAAGATGGGTGAAGTTTTATGCGGTAGCACTTACCAAAAGGAGCTTCATGTTTGTAATCCAAGTTGCACTTATCACTGCACGAACGAAACGTTATCTAGACTACAATGCTTTTCGCGGGTTCCCTCGACATTTAATCGAAGCACCAGACCAAAAAACAACTAATTCGTTCAAGGATGGACTGTCTCCCGTCGACTAAGACCACGGCCATACCTGCACATGTATAAATACAGTCGGGTCGCGACCATCCACGAATTACAATAGACTTTCTTGCTGACTTTCATCGATCACACTTAGGCAATGCTGTTACGGATCGGTGATGTTACACATATCGATGTAGAGTATCGTCTTCTCGCAGCCGTTCGTGAATTTCATTGCCGCCAAAAATATATTTTACGACTCATTGGAAATTTCAGAAGCGACTCGAACTTCTTTCGCATAAAATACAGTTAAAGAGGGGAATGAAAGCGATACATACTTTTTTTTTTACTGCAAATATTTTCGCCATCCTCCTGTCCCATTCGAAATTAAATATAGGAAACTATATGTTCACGGTCAATGAAAAATGCAAAAATAGAAATAGAAATAGAATACATTAATTGTTGACGACAATGTATCCTTCTGTCTTGCGCCACCGCGGAAAGAAGCTTCCACGTCAATCATTGAGACAAGGTAAGATGTCGCGACAAACAATCGGGGCTTCAGGCTGTTTCCAAACTATGTTGTCTTGCGTAAATTGCTTGTTCGATAGGAAAATCTACGACAGGAGGATACAAACGTCAGGCTAACTTCCATCGGGGCTCCTGAAAAACATTCCGCGGTTGCGAGGAACGACCGCGTCGATTCCTGTCACGTCCGTATCCTCCGAAGCCTCAGTGAAAGTACTTAAAGTCATCAAGTCCCGAGGAATACGGAATAAGTGTTCATTTACAGTGATATATTCTTATTGTGTAATTCACGTAAGTCACGTGCCATCGTGTATTCCTCGAATCGATTCAAACCCATTGCGATTCATTGAGGGGCGCTCGATTAAATAACAGACTCGTAAAGTCAACCATGTTTCTTTCGTGGATCGTGATAAGTTGTCAGGTGCCCTTAAGAAACACTGGACTACGTCTCTATCGTTTATCCCTAACTTCTACTTTGTTCAATCGATATAAAATTTAGAAGAAGCCAAGATGAATCCATCGATCTCACAAGATCTATCAGGTGGTAAGGAGGAGTAAAACATGCAATTGGACCATATTTAATATGAATAAATTTGTATATTTAAGATTGTGATATACATCCGAGAATATCGTGGTTACATCGAAATATATTTGCAAGGAATGTTCCCGATTACATCGGAAAGAATTTTGTTCGACTATTGAGATTTATCCTGTTTTGTTTACAACTAGAATAGTACACAAGATTCGATGGAGAGTCACCATAATCGTTTCCGTAATCTTAATCATAAAGTTTCCCGAGTGTCAGTCCTGGTTTCGCCGCCTACAGGTAGTAGCTATAGTAAGGGAAGGTGCGGTAAGCATAAGACAGGTAAGGGGTGTACGAGTACGTTAGGAGAGCTCCCCTCTTGTCCCTTGGTGCATCCGAAATGGGCGCTGCAGACTCCAACCTTTCGGGCTCGATAGGGTTCGCTTGAGTGAAAGCTACGGCGAACAGAGCCAAAAGGAGGATAGCCTGGAATAGAAGATTCGTCATTTTATTAATCATGCACAAACTACACAAATTCATGAAATCAATTTCTAATAAAAGTCAGAATATATTCGTTGGTATTGCGAATCTCTTATTGACCCCAACGAGTCATTATTGCCAAAAGATTCAGCATTACATAGCAATTGTACCGCACGCATTAGATAATAATACCAAATCATAGCAATTTCGCAAAACGTATGTAATTTAGCAGTCGCGTACTCTGCGTCGACTAATGATTCGAAATTACAAGTGCCTGGCATTATCTCGCCAAATAATAACACGTTAGTAATTTCGATCACGATGAAGAGCTTCCGTTTGTCGGATGGTTGTTGGTAGATAAAATTCAAGGAAAGTGTACCGCTTAGGTTTACCAAGATCTCAGGATTAATAACAATGCAATTAACAGGTAATTGAGTGACTAAGAGAACGGAATGCAATTTGCTCTATAATCGTTGCGCAAAAGCGTATTCCGTATACTTACGATGAAGCACTTCATGGTTGGTGGAGTTTAGTGGAGGTTTTCGAGTTCAGCTGCTGAGTTCAACTGGAACTGAATGATGCTCCTGCACTTTGGCGGATACCTTTTATACCTGACGATCTGCTCATCCTGCACTCGTCATTCGTCGATTGATCAATGCACGAGGACAAAAAAGTCTCGCGTGTGCGTGTGATAGTTCCCTGTCTTCGTGAGCCGGTGGATGTTGCACGGGGTTGTTCCACGTCTTATTGTTTACAGTGACACATACGTAACCTGTGTACGTGTGTCCGTCGACTTTGTCGCAGACGACGAGGTCTGCTAAAGAATCTCGTTCACGTATTCCGTAGCAGAGCCATGTACAACCTCCGATGCACGGGTGAAGCAAGGGACCTTGGCAATCGTCCAAATACAGACGAAAGTGTTTTACCACATAGGACGTAATAGTAGACGCATCGCGATACAATTGTAACGAGTTCCCTGAACCTTAATGACAGCGACGAAACGACACTTGATGTGCAACCAACTAGCGTGCACTCGGTGGTTCGTTGACGCGTTTAAATCAAAGCCAAGAGGCGCATTTAATGCGCATGACGACTCTAAAAATATCGGTCAAGTACATCGTGTAGTTACATCGTCCTTATCCCACGGTTTCAGGAAAATATTTTTCAACTGCGCCGTTTCTCGAGTACGTGGTTAATAAGAAAAAGGAACACTAAGTATTATACGAGGAAAAACAGCAAAATCCACGGAAATTTTATGACGCATGATCATACGAGTGTGAATACATGTCTTCATCGTGGCCAATCGAACTTTCATCAAAATATTTTTCCTGTATCCCTGTCTCGAAGGTTAATTATATTAAGCTATAATTATAAATAAAACTATGTCCCTTCCAGAGCCGAAGGACATTTTAATTTTTGGGGAAATTCGGTCATTGTTTATGCGTTCTTCGTCGCATGCGCATTACCAGCGTCTCCCGGATCCTTCGGTCGACCGCTGGCATACCGATCTTTTTCAGTGCTTTTTTCCATTCATTTGGATCTTTAGTGGGCAGCTCATTCTTCCATATTTTATTATGTTTTCGTATGGCTGTGACACACAGAAATACTCTTCCGTGAATCCGAATCGACAAAAAGGTTTAATTTCCCTCGTGAATTTGGACGCCATCATCGGATGGCTTCGCGTGTATATGTTAATAGTTACGTATAACAAATTTGGAAAGAATAAATTGGGTTGAATTAATAATTAGACTTGTTCTGAATATAAAATGAATTTAATGTATGCAAGATTCAATACTCTTTGTATAAACTGATACTATATATTGGGATTATATTTTATACGTGTCGGTTTTTATAATTAGCGAAGTCGTATTCGATGCGTCAAAATATATAGTTTCCTCCTGTGATCCGGTTCCACGTCCAAATGGAAATGAGAACGCGGCATCTTTTTGCCTAATTAATAATCCCGATGCAATTTATTCGTCTCAGCGGCTTCGCTTTCAAATCCTTCCTTGGCACGATGTATCGACAATTCGACACCCTTTAAATATTTAGTTACGAATTTTAATGCGAAGTTGACCACTGTTATGGAACTGCAATGGTTGTACTATTGAACGTTGTGCGATTAAAGAATTATTATAGTCCTAAATGATACGTCGCTTCCACCCACTCGTGGTATATATTTTCTATTTCTTAACATATCTAATCGGTAAGTAAATTGAATGTACGCTTTGTACTATCATAGAATAAACGTGTTTGGGTAGACTAACCTATTGCTGAGCTGGTGGACTTCTTTTACAAAATAGAAATAAATTCCCTGGATCTGAAATGTCAACATTGTACGAAGGATAAGGGAAAAACGGTTAAATCGGAAGAATGGGGTTTCGAAAACCGATTGTACGTTCTACGTTAGTAAATGTTCCTTCTAAAATTTCTTATTTATATCAGAGCTTATTCGTTTATTGTATAGGGTATCTGCGAATAGAGGCTTGTTTCTAGTTATTGTCACTGTAATATTTGTGGTACTTATATGCATCCTTTGCATACTATGTAAAAGATGCCCAATTCGATGGATGTATTTAGAGAGACGCGCTCAACGAGAAGGTAAACCAGTAATAAGTATTAACGATAAGTAATATCCTGACAATTTTTATACTTTTCAGCATTACAAGCATAACCTTGACGATGGAGTACATGTTTCGGAAATTAAAAATTTGGTAAAAATATGTATTTCTAACGATACTTTATTTATTATATATGTATGTACAAGATTGTATTGAGTGCAATAAAATATGCTCCCCATGGTATCTTCTCCAGCCGATGGCGTCGATCTGTGAACAAATACATAGTTGGTTTAACCGCGTTCTCGATTAATTTCATAAATAGAAAAGATAACAAAATTTCAGATAGAGCTAATAAAATATAAATCATTAAAATCATTACAAAATCGAATTCATCATCGTACGAAAATCACGACTTCGAAAATTAATGTTACTTATGCATTGTTATCTTACCTTTGGTTGAAATCATTCAACTTGTGTCTCCCGAATAATAATTCTCATCGAAAAATTATACTGCTTCCTATAAAGGAACGATTGTTTATACTGTGTCGAGTTAAGATGCTACTTACGAGAAATTGCATTTAATTCTCAGAGGTAGTGACGAAGTGTAATGAATATATATATATATCACAAAAATTCAAAAAACAATTATACATCATTGAAATTGAAGATAATACGAAGAAAAAAGTATAAAAATCGTACTTACTACTACGTTCGATCAATATACATATATATACGTGTCTCAAGAGCATCGTTGATGATCATCGGTAACTCTGCGTGATAAAAGAAGTATATATAGATTTATCGCGCTCATCAGAATGCCGTATAGCAAAATAATCGAAATAGAATCAGATAGGAGCGAAAGACATAATTAGTAATCTTCAGTATTGATCAGTTGAACTATAATCTCATCATAAAAATATTTGTTTTTGCGATAATTTCATTAATTAATGCAAGAAATGTAGAAACTTACAAAATGTGCCGGTAATCTTTAACTTCCGGTGTTCCCGATCCGATCGTGATGTTTCCTAGAATAGAAAATGTAATTCTAAAAATTCTATTAATACGAGCGATATAAATAATATTCGATCGTAAAATTATCAGATAGGAGCGAAAGACAAAATTAGCAATCTTCACTATAAGTCAGTTGAACTATGAACTCATCACGTATTATATCGAAAAATAATCGTTTATTTAATAATAACGAAAAACATACCATTACATCAAGATTATTGAGATTTCTCAAATTTCCCTTGGACAAAAACTCTAGGTACATCAATATTTTCCTTCAAATTTATTGTACGTCTCTGTACATAATCACATGTTAAGGTTTTAAAGCCAATAGATTCAAATAGATTTGAAATTTCTTCTACAGAGAAATAATATGTTCTAGAATCAAAATAATATGTTATTACCATTTAATATTTAACATCACAGAAATGATCCTAAATAAAATTTTACCTTGTTCCATCTTGTCTCATATAAAAATTTTCACTTATTTTGTGACCAGGTTTAAACCTCAATTGTGCCATATCATAGAGCCCATAGTCTCTTAGAAGCACAACTCCTTTATTGTCAAGAATATTATATAAATTTTTCACAACTCTGTAATTGAGATGAGTTACAATTAAATACACTGTTTTTGATATCCAATCTCACATGCACTCTCAAACTTCGTTTATACTTACTTCTGAAATTTATTCGGATGTATGGCGGACAATACGAATATCAACGTGGCTGCATTTATGGGACAATCCACATCAGCGAAACAATTTTCCATTGTAATATCAGTTTGAAAAATATGCATAGTATGTGGATCGTACAACGCATGATTCTGTAAGAAATCACGCGAATTCCAGAATTTCGCTATAACTACGCTGCGAGTATAAATAATAAAATGTCCATACCTTTGTTAATTCCACTGCTCTGGGTGAAAGGTCACAGGCAAATATTTTCTTGAATTTTAATCCATCTTCTATCAAAGGATATATAAAGTTTCCCACACCGCAACCGACCTCCAAAAGGACGTTCGGATTCGCTTCGGTAGCCATGCCCATCAATTCGTTGAATTCTCTGGTCGTCCAATGTCTGTCTTTGAAAAATCTCGTGTCGTTTCGTTTATAAAATAAATCCCAGTGTTTTTTAGAATCCTTTTCGAGTTGATTAGCGCGAAATTCCGTAACTAAACGCGAATTTTGCGCCTCCATTCTCTCGATCTCTTTCGGAGTAAGATGCTTCGCCACGTGGCCAACGCTATTCTCCATCGATTCAGCCATTTTCCCGGAACTCGTAGTCACGATTTTATGAATGACTAACCTATCGTATCTTTCTGCGAACCTTTTTTAATTTGCCAGCGTACTTTGTGACGATCGAACGGAACATTTATATGAAAATGGAAGAACGAAACGACTGCGGACATTGAAAACTTGGAGAAAGAAACGCGAGAACCATTCACCTTCGCGTCCCAAAAGGAAATGAAAGGGAAGCCGACGCGTAGCGCCGGCGCTGCCTTCTAGCTCCGTTTGCCGCGCTGAATCAACTAGTCTGGTAACATTCAGGCGTGCCATCGTGAGAAAATTGACTGGGAAAATTTAAACCGGCGTCGTCGTTGCTTCACTGCGACTTCGCTATTGTAACGAAGACACAATAGACTCTGGAATAATTGTAACGTAACAAAATTCGTTATGCAATTTAATACATTGTATGGGAACTGTTCTCGTGCACAGTTCGTATCTTACTTTATTAAATAAGTCAATGAATATACTTATTTGGCGATGAAAGCCACGAAGATGAATGGAAAATGTGTTAATTCATGCTTAATGAAGAATAGTTTAATCATTCTCTCTTACGTGAAACATTCTTCTTAAGAAACTTGTAATTACATTTTTCGTTTTGAATAAAACATACTGTTTCAATAATTATATACAAAGGGATTCCTTCTACAACGTTTTATTACTGCAAAATGTTGACGTTATTATAACTTTTAATTAATATCGCCAATACAGCCTTACGAGGCGATGGAGTCATCGATATGAATTCCACGTGCGGACTTATTCGACAAATTAATATGCGGTCCCCGTTGGAAACGAATATTTTCTGCCTGCGTATAGCATTGTCACACAATGACACAGTACTGAAAGGGGTTAGTCGTGACTGAAATTTATCCGATGTGTCCACTACCTACTTCGTTCAAGTAGCAATTAAAATCTATGAACTTCACTGCACGAATGCAATTGCGCAAGCATATCTATCGATGACAATTCGTATCCTGTATTATGCGTCACCTATTAAATTAATTGCACGCGGCACAGTTGCGTTCGGATACATTTTTGCGTACAACTAGATTTCAATGTTTCGAATTATTATCCTGTTTACTTCGTCATTAAATGAATTTATTACCGCATCGTGCGCGTATGCTTCAACATTTGACGAACTACGATATACGATGATCTTAAAATTTATAACTGAAACGAGGTCAAAGGAAAATTAATCGATCAAGTAGTATGTAGGTCATTGCAGACCACAATTTCATCGATAGCTTTACGGAAGCCATGACGATAGATTAACTGAATGAAATGAAAAACACGTTTCGCTACTCGACGTCGTTAGTGCTTCTTCAAATAATGTATTTCACGACCTCCGTCGCGGCACAATAGGCGATTAACTTTTACCTCGAAGTCCCTAAACCTTTAACACTCGTTGTATTTTGGACAGGAGCTTGTTATATATTTTTGTATTCATAGTTTAACATTTATTTTGACAAGATGGATTGTACTGTCATAAAAGAATTCATAAAGTAATTTCTTATTTTATACCTACCAAGATGGCGTAAATTCTTGAACGACTGAGTCTGCCCTTTTCTTTTAAGTAAAATTGATCGCTAGGATAAGTCTCCAGAAATCCTGTGGCACTATTTCTGCTTCGTTCGTTCGCGAGAAGGGACGCTGCAATGTATCTTCGCATAAATGGGCCACGCAATAAGAAAAATCACCGCGGCGAGCAGCATGCCCTTAAGCAAATTAAAATTAATTTTTTTTCCGCGGACTCGTGGAACCTTCTTCCACAGATTCAAAACATTTATTACGAATGTTCATATCCCGGTGTAACAGGAACAATTGTTCCTTGGGCTATGTTTTACATTAACGCGAAAGCTAAAATATCTCTTCGAGTTTATCATTCCTTTCGCTCGCGTTTGCTCGAGAAACGCCGGATAATAATGACTCGCATAGACTTTGCAATAATTCCACTGGAAAATCGCGAATCGTGGAAACTGGAAACGTACATTTATTAGTAAATATGAGATTATAAGAAAAGCGAGACATTAAATGCATGACGTTCACTTTTGTTAGTCAATATACTGCCTGGAATTCAATAAATGTAATTAAATTAAAACATTACTGTGTGTAGAAGTATCGAAAAATAATTTTAATGTCTATGGATTTCAATCGGAACGCCTGATGAATATAATGGCTACCTTTATTGATTGTAAATAACGAACTTTTATGCATGTTGTTAAAGGTATTATTAACTTTGAGCCCGCGTACTTTTACTAGTGAAACTAATATACGCATTGCGTTAATAATTTGTTCACGCTTTTACTATACGAGCTTGTCGTTCGTAATCATCTCGCGATCTTGGCGAAGATATCGATCGCTCGTTCATTTAAAAATCAAGCCAAGCATAGCCCAAGTGATCGTTAAATCACTAATGAGTGTAACAATGATTTGCGAGTAGAAAAGTTTAGAAGACGCTGTTTTAATGATTAGTGTCTCAAACGGCGCATCACGTCGAGAGCCGAAGAGCGTCGATGAGGGATAGACACACGAGCACGTAATTGTAGGCGCGGCGAAGATGCCTCCGACCGTGCCTTTTCCATTTGTCGAGGCAGCCAGCGTCGAAGCATCTTATACCGTTCGTCCTCGTGGGCATTCCAAGCGGGAATTCTCGAAAGCCAGTTGTGCCGTAGAAACACGCGTCGCGGACTGCCGCTCGCCTGCGACTTTCGAGTGCTCATAAAACCGCCGTTTTCTCGCTTTGCGCCGCTTTCGTGTGCACCGAATTTTCTTGCCAACGGACCACCGACGAATACCAAAGTGCCGTAAACCACTTGACCCCGACGCCCTCAGGTACCAGCGGTCAAATTCTGGTAAGTAACAACTACCTGTCGAGTGTCTGTTACCGTCAATTTCGAAATCGTCCCTCGACGAGCAACCGTTGTACCGTTAATGGCAATAAATATCACTGTAAACGTTGAAATTCTACTCGAGTTTACGCTCGTCTTTGTTTTTACGACGATAAAAGAACTGGAGGTGTTCGTGTCAGATTTATGTCGAAGTGTGAAAGTTAACGATTGAAGCATTTTTTTTTATTAGTAAAAAAGAAAAAGAACTATCTCTGTGTTTGCGTGGTTTAGGAGTAATCGAAGACTTCGATTTTATTGTGAACAACTACTAAAACCTGATCGTTGCGGTATTAAAGTTTGATCGCGTCGATTAACGTCCCGTTAAGTATCACGCAAACGACTGGCCGATAGAAAATTTGATGCACGTCGGTCTTCGTATTTGTAATGGACTGATAAGTTAATTAACTGTGAAGTAGACCATGAGTTAAGAAGCCGAGTGGGGCGTGACGCGTAAAAAAAAAGTTGCACGCCTGAGCATGAATATTAAACGATCATCGCGATACTGACGATTTCAACGCTCCTTTTGTGCTCATTGCAAAATTATGGCCGATTTGTGTAATTAACGCGAATCTTTCGAAAGCTGGAAAGAGTGAACCGGTTACAAGCTTCTTAAAGCGTTTGGAGAAATTAGCATAAAACGTTTAAGTAAATCAAGTTCAAAGAATGCTTGTTTAGCTATTTCCATGACAGTTGATTTGCAGAGATTATCGTAAAAATGATCGACGATTCACAGAGAATCTCTCGAAGAGGCACCGTCGATCGATGGTTCCCACTTGCTAGGAAGAGACTACGTTCCGTTGACACGGTCCGCCAGCAACGATAATCGAAGGTTTCGAAGCGGAAGCGACAATCCTCGCTTAACAACTAATCGAAACAAAGGAGTCGTTCGCGGAACAGGGCGCTCTGCACTTTCGTTCGCGAAAGATTACAATGATCCTCGACTTCCTCGTGTCATTCGTTATTCAAGCACTCTTCTGTGATCGTGTTTCGATCTAAGCTAATATCAAGGAAATCCACCAATTACGTTCCTAGTTTGTTTTATTCCGTACACCGGGAACCTTAAAAAAATAAATAGTCCAAGTTCCAACGAACGATTATGCCAAGTAAAGTATTCCAAGCACGAGCACAAGGCCTTTAGTCGTAACGATAGAGTCTGCTCGTGGTCGATTCCTTTGCCTCGAGTGAAACTACAATAGCAGCTATAGTGATCCGTTTGAGATTCGCATTCCTGGACGAGCGTGTCGTTCTCAGCGTCCCACCCGCGGCGGGAAAAGTGCTCGGCCGAAACTTTCTAAGCGTGTATCGCTAACCGTGGTCAGCAATCTGTGATCGAAACACCCGAGCGCGTACGTCCGGAGGGCGCGAATCCGTAAAATTGAGCTCCATGAATTCGCGATATCACGGATAGGAAATTTTGTCTGAAAAGGTAGCCTAAATCCGCCTCCAAGCCACCTCCATTTTTTAAATTGATCCTTTGATTACATTACTCAAAATGTTTTGCATGTTCTTGCGTAACCGGTGCACGTATCAGTCGTGAAAGTTGCGTAACCGGTAAACCGATCCATTCCAGTTTTGTCAACATTTTTGCATACCAATACTTCTCGCCGCGGTCCGAAATGTTACCTTATTTAAATCAGCTTTGAATTTAGATTTCGAGAACCAATGAAAATATAAATATCACGAGCTTGTAGTGTATCGCGTTGCTTCCTGTATCTCCTCTGGAGAGTAGTCGTTGGAGTCACCGCTCTTAATTCCAACCTCTATAAAAAAGTGCTCGCGGGATTCGCTGGTCCAGGGACAGGTGTTACGCGATTGCGTCATTGTGTGCGAAAGAAAGACGTAGTGGAAACATCGTAAACGTTATGCAAGCAACAGTCCAGCAATCTTCGAGGATTGGCAGTGTTTATCCTTTCCACACGGTCACTCGCGGTCAGCAGAGAGTACCGTTGCACGTTTGCTTGGAATTGAATGTACAGGTTGTATCACAACACGTGCAAACCATTCCAGAGGCGGATTGAGGGCTGAAAAGTAACGAAAACATGGGGTCGACTGTATATTTGACAACCGAGGGGAACCCTCGAGTGCAACCTTCTCCGTGTCTCGCTCATCGTTAGACGCTACTCTCGAGAGAATTGCACGTATTGGCAAATTGATTTCGACAACTTGTTCACTTATCGGCTATATAATTACTTATGTCAGTTTAGACTCTATAGTATAACGTTTGTAGTATAAAGCTAAATCTGAAGTATTACTCTGGGAGGTATTCGATTTGCCACGGAATGACTCAACTGCAATTTACTGGTGTACAAAAAGAAGCTACAACTCTGGAACAAAGTCAGACGGAGCATATGTTTACACGGACTTTTTTCACCATTTTCGTGTCCTCAATCCACCACTGAACTGGGTCTCACATGTTAGGACGCGTTTTGTCGCAATCAAGCGATTGCTGATGTATCCAAGATCCGCGGGCCGTAAACGCCAGTCGTTGGCGAATAATTCTCGCGATTATAGAGAAAAGAACCGCGTGGTTGGCCAACGAATTCCGTTAAATTGCACGTCGGCCTTCCTCGAGTTCTTTGAACGATTCGAATGCGGCCTCGGTCAATTCCCTAGCGGGACACAACTGCCTACGTAAAAATAGCGGTAACAGACGACGCATTGTGTAGAACGGCAATTACAGAAAAGGCCATTTTTTGTACTCACCGCAGAGACGACATTTTTGCATAACTTCTACATATCCAGAGGAATCGGAAAACAATAGCCACTTAAGCGTCGTGAAACGGGTATGTTGTGAATTTAATGGGGATTTAATGTTTATCCTACTACAGCACGCTCTTACACTTAAATGCATTTTTTAAATTTATATATGGCGATTCTTCAATAATTGTAACCTCTCAAACGTTCAATAGCTTGAACAATTTTCAATTTTTCATTTTCATTTGATGGATTGTTCTTTAAAGTTGCAGTTGCCCCGAGTATTTCCGGCCTGAATTGTTCTAGTCGCATTTCTGTAGGTCAAGAAACAACGCTGCAATGCTCTGTCGCGCGGGCTTAGAATTCAGTGAAATTGTTGAACAAGATTCTAGTTCGCAAGGAGCACGAGATAATAGCGCAGGGACTCCGTAATCGATATTTCCCCATTCCCGTTGAATTTAACGCGAGTGTATAAACTCCTGTAATTCGATAATGCGACCGCGAAACGCGACTCGTCCGTGCATCCAGTGATAGGCTGGTGAGATTTAATCGCGACGTTTATTCAATTTGGATAGAGGAGTAAGAGCAGTCTGTATTCACTCGTACATTCGAATTCGAACTTTGAAATACTGATCGATATCGAAAGAACGTTTTCTAAAAATTCTGATCATTAAATCTGAATACCATCCAAGAGGCATTCTCTTCGGTGACCCTACGTACGCGTAATCCGCGTAACTTCCAACATTCCAGCCGGTGCACGCCTCACGACGGCGTAGCGATTAATAGAGATGACATAGCTGCTTATTAGCATTCCATCACAATTCTGACTGTCGTCCGGTGAAGGAGATAGCGAAGTCTATGACCCACTTTAAACCTCTATTGAACAAACTGTTCCTTTTGATTGTTAACCTCGCCGTTCTTTCTTTTGCTTCCTTTTCGGGAGACCATTATTCAAGAGCACAGCTGATGTTCAGCGAGATGTGGGATCGAACAAATTTTTCTAGTCGAATACTGCTCCAGATTTTAAAGCTGCAAATGATGTGGTTGGTATTTATTCATAGGTGAGCGATCTCTCCTTGGCAAAC